TTGTACGTTACACACAGATGATAGCGGTATTGTTTCCAAAAACGTGCACCGCTGTTTTGTAAATTAACATCCAAATTGCGTAAATTTTTCCGTTTTAGTTGAAAACAGTGTCTAATAAATGGCATTTTGTTTGATAACAGCGGCTGGAGAGATTTTAAAGCAATATTTACTTTTTTAAAACATACTTTATGGATAACATAATGGATAAAAAAAACTGAAATTCATTGTCATGTGTTCTGTACAGTCTTATCTGGTTATTTTGCGTGTTTATTGCTCTCAGTTTAATGTTCTCTAGTGGGCAAATATTGATTGACAGCTCATACAAGAGGAGTTTACAGACACACTCTGTCTTATATGGAAATCCACTGGCTTCTGTTTGTGCGGTTGTAGTTTACTGACTGCATATGTTTGCAAAACCCTTGAAGAACTGCAAAAAGTTGATCATTTTTAAGAAATGAGAGGGATCATAATAATGAGGTTAGTTTTTATTTAGGGTATGAAAGATAACTAACACACTTGATCCTGAACCAAGAGGAAGCTTTTCATAATAATGCAGGTTGTAAAACACATGATGAAAACGTGTTATCAGAGTAACACAAATGACCCCTGATTAAAGCAATAAACATTAACAGAATGATGAACTATTTAAATAAAATATAATCATATGTTTCCAGTCATGCGGGGACTTCTGGTAATGTCCTTTTTTTAACCATAAATTCATATTTTTTTCTTGCATTTTGCAAATTTGACGGTATTTTATGATAAAGTTAAATATATGACTTGACTTGACTTGACTTTATTGTCATTCATAATACAACAAGTGTATACAGAACGAAATTTCGTTTGCCACAGTTTTTTGCAGTTTCAATGCAGTATAAGTAAATGTTCAGCCCCCAAAAAATTTGGTACAAAAAAAAAAACCAGATTATAATAAATAAATATATACCTAGCAAAGTGGAATAAATAATTATCCAAAATATATATAATTATATATATAATTATTAAAATAAAATATATTATTATTTTAATATATAAAATAATAATATATTTTATATATTTTAATAATATAGTTAAACACTGTATGCAGAATGTTAAGATAACTTACTGAATAGGTTTTAACTAGAGATGCACCGATGTATTGGCCAATAATCGGTGTCGGACAGTGAAAGCAATTATTTTCTCTAACGGACGATTGTTTAAAAACAGCCGATGATCAGGGCCGATTATATCCTGTCAATCAAAAGGGGGCGGGGAAACGTGTCAGACTCATACTGTGTGTGAAGAAAATGTCTCTGGTGTTGAATTTAGGGCTGTCTATATGACAAAAATAGCAAAAGCAGGCTCTATTTAAACCTCTGAATCACCTGAAGTTCAAGCCAGGGTTTCCCGGTCCACAGTTTTCCCTACAACTAATATTATTTGTACTAGCCTCCCATCCGCTTTATTACTCCTGATAAGTCTCAGTTTTCAATTTCTGTCCAATGTATCATTAAATTCAAACTAAAATGGTATTTATGAAAACTACCGTATGCAACTGAGTGTTTCATTATTTTTATTTAATTTTTATTTTTTTAATTTTTAATTATAAATTATCAGCTATCTGTATCGGCAGATATCATTCTGAATAATCGGCTATCAGTATCGAAAGATATCACTCTGAATTATCGGTTATTGCTATTGGCGAAAAATATAGTATCGGTGCAGCTCTAGTTTTTACTCTACCTTATTTATAGTATTTTTCTGTAAAAAATGAGATTGCTAAAATGCATTGCTACACAAAAAAATGACATCGTTTATATCTCATGTTTTTATACATTTTGCATTGGGTTTATAAATTTGTTCCCATTCGGTTTAGGTCACAGGAGGACCTGAACTATTACGGAGGAGTAATAGTCGAACGGTGATCAGATAGTCAATATGTTCATCCGCGCCGGTGATGTGATTGATCGAGTTAATGCAGAACAGAGGCGCCTGACCCTTCCAGCAACACCATCATATAATCATGTCACCAGCAGCTCCTAGAGGACAAACAAAGTGGTCGATCAAACCTATCAAGCTTTATTAGCATATCATTACAAAACAACTCAAATGAGTCAATACAGTAAAAGTGTTGAGCTATAAAATGAATGTGGAGCTGATCTTGAGATAATTTTTAAACGTCTGGCTTTTAATGTGAAAAACGACTGAAATATTAACCCTGTAAAGCCTCACATATGATATAATAGTCAAACAATGAGCATAAAATAATTTATAATATAGCTCATATGGTATAATATAGTGGGAATATGGAGGGAAAATTTGGCACAGATGCTGATATTCAATTCTGATGCTTGTAAATCAATGATAACAGTATAGCAGATACTTGCATGAAATGCATATAAATCTGCCAATAATGTCTTAGTAAGATGATATTCAAATGCTTAGATTTATGATCAAAACATATGATGCAAAGCAATACAATAATGATTGACAGATGAACACACAAACGAACCTTCCCCAAACGTCTCATGATCATAATTAACACTCAAGATTTTTCTAATAAATGATGATGGATAATCAAGTAAACCAAAGCTGCTTCAGTGCTCATAAAATATTACTAACAATTTTTAAGTTATACTTGATGCAAATCAGCTCAGATTTAAAAATAATACAGGGTTAATTAGGGCTAAATATATTCATAGAGGCTTTGGAAATCCGATGTACCCAATGTGCTGAGGACATGTGGCGTTCATCATGACCTCAGTCTAACCTGCAGGAATATTGAGCCTGTCAGTAGTAGTTTGGTCCCCAATGGTTCACTGAATATGCATTAGTAAAGACTCGATCCTCTGTGTAACACGACGCTCACGGTGTCAGGTTTGATGACATTAGAAAAGGGGCGTGTCCGATTGACCGCACGTGTCACACCTGTCCCCGCCCCCTTTTTGACGGACATTTCTTCAGTTGGGTCTAGTACATGTTGTGAATGCGACTGGAGAAACGGAGCGAGTCGTGTCACGATGGGACGAACTCTTGTTTCCCGCAGGCTGTCGGGATGTTCCTGAGGAAGAAGAAGAAGAAGAGGAGGCTGGAGATCTCCACGCCCAGGAACTTCGAGCACAGGGTGCACACGTCCTTCGACCCGGTCCAGGGGTGTTTCCTCGGTCTGCCGCCCCAATGGCAGAGCATCATCGAAACACTCAAGAGACCCAAACCTGTGGTGGACCCGTCCAGAATCACACACGTCCATCTCAAGCCCAAGAAGGTAAACGACAACAACACAAGACGTGTGCTTCTATATCAGAGCTATGATATTTATAATTGACATGTTTATAAGTTAGATAAACTATTCAGTAGTTTGAATTATATATATATATATATAATTAATGGTTAAATTACATTATATTTTTGCATTATTTGCCAAACTTAGTGACTTTTTATGACAATTAGGCTAAAATATCAGTCAAAAAAATCTACATTTGATATTACTGCGCTGCATAGATATTTCCATTTTTATTATCCAATTATTATAAATAGTTACTAGGTGAATATCACAAAATATTACAGAATATCACATGTGTGTGTGTGTGTATATATATATTGTATATATTATATGTGTGTTATATGTGTATATATCACGTGTGTGTGTTTGCCATCCACAATTGATGCTTGAACTTTTTTTTGCATTAGTTATTTGCCATACTTAGTGACATTATTTTTATGACATTAAGGCAAAAATATCAGCCAAGAAATTATATAGATATTATTTTCCACGACATTTCACTGCATATGTATTTCATTAATACCGTATTTGTAACATTATTATGCAGTTATTATATACACACTGTAAAACATATTTTCAAGATTTGTTATCACAACATATTTTCCTTTGTCAAATCAACTTAAATAATTTATTTAGTTCAGATAACATATAATTTTGAGTTTCCGATGATTAAATCATTTTCCTTCATTGTATTAACTCACTTTTTCCAGTTCAATCAACTTCAAATTTTAAGGCAACCAGGTTACTTACTTTTTTAAGTTAAACCAACAATATTTTTGTCCACATTTCACTCCAAAATCAAAAGAAAAAATAAATAAATTATTGCATAAAGAAAATTAAAACTTACCGACAATATTTTAAGACAATTAAGCAAAAATATCATGCAAAATATATAATGTCTCTTAATTTTCCTGTGAAATTAGATTGAGACACATATAATTCTTTCAAATCTTCCCGCTTAGTGTTTTTCAACAGAACGTCTTTGTTTCACGTTAATGTTTGTGCTCTGGTTAATAATCATGTCTGTTAAACAGGTTCTGTCTCCATGTTTATATCTACACCATCGTCTCGTTGTGTTTCCCCAGAGTTCTGACGTATCCGCTGCACCGCTCAAACTCTTTAAGAATGTGACATTAAGACTTTTTATCCGGTAATTTTGACCTGATAAACCTGCTCGACGCTGCTGTTATATAATAGCTCTCGGAGGAGCTGCATCATCCCACCAAATGACTGTAGGCCAATGTCTGAGATCCAGTAAAATTCTGCTTAGGGATGCAAATGAGATGCAAATATCCCTGAATATTGTTCTTGTAGTGAAATAACTGGTTAACATGAGATTTTGGCATATTTGCATGAATGGAAACGTCAGTTAGAAGGGGGTGAAAATCAAATAATTTCACAGCATCAGTTTTTGAGGGGGAAAAACTCTACAATACTTTTAAAATATAGCCTTAATGAAGTCAATTCTGGAGTTTATAGAATATAACTCTTTAAAATGATCCCTAAAAATGAAGAATTGCTTTATATAAAGATATACTGTAACAACTGTAATCTTCAACGACATGACTTACTTTTCTGCAGTATTTATAATCCATTTTGAGTATAGACCTGAAAATGAAATTTCCAACTTAAACTGTCGTGAATCTTGAAAGTTTCGTCTCTTTTTAAAAACGGCACTTGGCAAATTATTGCTGAAGTGAAAAAAGTTTAAAAAGATTATCGCTGTGAAAAAAAAAATATATTTTCAGTTTTTATATGAAGTATATATTTTCTAAAATTTTACTCTAAAACTTTTTTTTTTACTCTAAAACTGTGTGAAAAGAAGAGAATAGATTATAATAGAAGCTATAAATCTAAAAACGATCCAAATTTGAGGTTGATATCTCAAAAATGTGAGTTTTCTGTAAGATTCATTTCGACACTTTTTTTCAGGACCTTTTCTAATCATGTCCATGATTCACACAGCAAGTGCCAAAACCTTTACCAAGTTTCGTACCATTACAAACAAATAAAAAATTCTTTAAAAAAAAGATTTTAGAGTACATCGTTTTGATGTTTTGTTTAACTCTCTCTTCCAGAGCATTGTGCGTGGCAGTTTCATCGGACACGAGGACTACATCTCTGCGGCGATCGCTGAGATGAGTCGACTCTCGGTCACCAGCTCAAACTCCTTAAGGAGAACCAGCCCGTCTTTGCGGAAACGAGCTCAATCTCTGGGTCGCCTGGGAGAGGTAGCCGAAGGAGAGACGTACGAGTATCAGGAACTGAACGAGGCGAATCTGAGAAACGGTCAGTCGGTCTTGGACTGGCACTCCAGATCCCGACAGGTCCAGAGTGAGAGTGGAAGTCCTCAACCTGACCACAAGAAGAGCTTCACTTTAAACCCAAATGACTCACGGACAAGATCCAAATCAATTCACGAGGCGAAGATGTTCACGGAGCAACCGATGCTCATGCCTCGGGACATTTTACTCGCGCCTAGAACTGTTCACGAACGGCTCGGCATCGCTAAAATGGACGGTAAATTCATCCAGAGACCCGTGTCGTGTCTTTACAGCACATACAGAGAAAACGATGGAGCAAAACTGATCTCAGAACAGCCGAAGATGGAAGCGCAGAAGAGGCCACAGTCCACCTACGACTTTAAGGTGTGTAAAGTCACGTTTATTTATGTATATATAGTGCTTTTGCAATACAGATTGCTCAATGTGACGGACTAAAAAAAAACATTTAGTGTTTTGTAAGTAATCAGCAATATTTAGAAATTTACATGATGTTTAATAGGCAGCCAATACAGGGTTGACAGAACCGGGCTAATATGGTCATACATGGTTCTGCTGCGTTTTGGACTAGCTGGAGTTTGTTTATTAAGCGTGCAGGGCAACCACCCAGTAGAGCATTACTGTAATCTAGCTTTGATGTCATGAACGCATTAACTAACTGTTCCGCATTCATCGATGAGAGCTTATGGTGTAATTTAGATGTTTTTAAGATGGAAAAATGTGGGTTAGTTATGAAGTGAACTCAATTCAACTAAAGCAGCTCTAAAAAGACAGAGTTGTAATTGAGTTCAATTCAGTTCAAAGCTGATTTAGTTCAGTTCAGTAACATGTAAAATATCTTTAGTTATGAAGCAAACTCAATTCAACTAAAGCAGCTCTAAAAGACAATAGAGTTATAATTCAGTTTAATTCAGTTCAAAGTTGATTTAGTTCAGTTAAGTAACATGTTGTAAAATATCATTAGATATTAATCAAATTTAATTGAACTAAAGCAGCTCTAAAAAGACAATAGAGTTATAATTCAGTTCAATTCAGTTCAAAGTTGATTTAGTTCAGTTCAGTAACATGTTGTAAAATATCATTAGATATGAATCAAATTTAATTGAACTAAAGCAGCTCTAAAAAGACAATAAAGTTATAATTCAGTTCAATTCAGTTCAAAGTTGATTTAGTTCAGTTCAGAAACAATGTGAATGTTGTAAAATATCATTAGATATGAAGAGAACTCAATTCAACTAAAGCAGCTCTAAAAGACAATAGAGTTATAATTCAGTTCAAAACTGATTTAGTTCAGTTCAGTAAAATGTTGTAAAATATCATTAGATATGAATCAAATTTAATTTAACTAAAGCAGCTCTAAAAAGACAATAGAGTTATAATTCAGTTCAATTCAGTTCAAAGTTGATTTAGTTCAGTTCAGTAACATGTTGTAAAATATCATTAGATATGAATCAAATTTAATTGAACTAAAGCAGCTCTAAAAAGACAATAGAGTTATAATTCAGTTCAATTCAGTTCAAAGTTGATTTAGTTCAGTTCAGTAACATGTTGTAAAATATCATTAGATATGAATCAAATTTAATTGAACTAAAGCAGCTCTAAAAAGACAATAAAGTTATAATTCAGTTCAATTCAGTTCAAAGTTGATTTAGTTCAGTTCAGTAACAATGTGAATGTTGTAAAATATCATTAGTTATGAAGAGAACTCAATTCAACTAAAGCAGCTCTAAAAGACAATAGAGTTATAATTCAGTTCAAAACTGATTTAGTTCAGTTCAGTAAAATGTTGTAAAATATCATTAGATATGAATCAAATTTAATTTAACTAAAGCAGCTCTAAAAAGACAATAGAGTTATAATTCAGTTCAATTCAGTTCAAAGTTGATTTAGTTCAGTTCAGTAACATGTTGTAAAATATCATTAGATATGAATCAAATTAAATTTAACTAAAGCAGCTCTAAAAAGACAATAGAGTTATAATTCAGTTCAATTCAGTTCAAAGTTGATTTAGTTCAGTTCAGTAACATGTTGTAAAATATCATTAGATATTAATCAAATTTAATTGAACTAAAGCAGCTCTAAAAAGACAATAGAGTTATAATTCAGTTCAATTCAGTTCAAAGTTGATTTAGTTCAGTTCAGTAACATGTTGTAAAATATCATTAGATATGAATCAAATTTAATTGAACTAAAGCAGCTCTAAAAAGACAATAAAGTTATAATTCAGTTCAATTCAGTTCAAAGTTGATTTAGTTCAGTTCAGAAACAATGTGAATGTTGTAAAATATCATTAGATATGAAGAGAACTCAATTCAACTAAAGCAGCTCTAAAAGACAATAGAGTTATAATTCAGTTCAAAACTGATTTAGTTCAGTTCAGTAAAATGTTGTAAAATATCATTAGATATGAATCAAATTTAATTTAACTAAAGCAGCTCTAAAAAGACAATAGAGTTATAATTCAGTTCAATTCAGTTCAAAGTTGATTTAGTTCAGTTCAGTAACATGTTGTAAAATATCATTAGATATGAATCAAATTTAATTGAACTAAAGCAGCTCTAAAAAGACAATAGAGTTATAATTCAGTTCAATTCAGTTCAAAGTTGATTTAGTTCAGTTCAGTAACATGTTGTAAAATATCATTAGATATGAATCAAATTTAATTGAACTAAAGCAGCTCTAAAAAGACAATAAAGTTATAATTCAGTTCAATTCAGTTCAAAGTTGATTTAGTTCAGTTCAGTAACAATGTGAATGTTGTAAAATATCATTAGTTATGAAGAGAACTCAATTCAACTAAAGCAGCTCTAAAAGACAATAGAGTTATAATTCAGTTCAAAACTGATTTAGTTCAGTTCAGTAAAATGTTGTAAAATATCATTAGATATGAATCAAATTTAATTTAACTAAAGCAGCTCTAAAAAGACAATAGAGTTATAATTCAGTTCAATTCAGTTCAAAGTTGATTTAGTTCAGTTCAGTAACATGTTGTAAAATATCATTAGATATGAATCAAATTAAATTTAACTAAAGCAGCTCTAAAAAGACAATAGAGTTATAATTCAGTTCAATTCAGTTCAAAGTTGATTTAGTTCAGTTCAGTAACATGTTGTAAAATATCATTAGATATGAATCAAATTTAATTTAACTAAAGCAGCTCTAAAAAGACAATAGAGTTATAATTCAGTTCAATTCAGTTCAAAGTTGATTTAGTTCAGTTCAGTAACATGTTGTAAAATATCATTAGATATGAATCAAATTTAATTTAACTAAAGCAGCTCTAAAAGACAATAGTTATAATTCAGTTCAATTCAGTTCAAAATTGATTTTAGTTCAGTTCAGTAACATGTTGTAAAATATCATTAGATATGAATCAAATTTAATTTAACTAAAGCAGCTCTAAAAAGACAATAAAGTTATAATTCAGTTCAATTCAGTTCAAAGTTGATTTAGTTCAGTTCAGTGACATGTTGTAAAATATCATTAGATATGAATCAAATTTAATTTAACTAAAGCAGCTCTAAAAAGACAATAAAGTTATAATTCAGTTCAATTCAGTTCAAAGTTGATTTAGTTCAGTTCAGTAACATGTTGTAAAATATCATTAGATATGAATCAAATTTAATTGAACTAAAACAGCTCTAAAAAGACAATAGAGTTATAATTCAGTTCAATTCAGTTCAAAGTTGATTTAGTTCAGTTCAGTAACATGTTGTAAAATATCATTAGATATGAATCAAATTTAATTGAACTAAAGCAGCTCTAAAAAGACAATAAAGTTATAATTCAGTTCAATTCAGTTCAAAGTTGATTTAGTTCAGTTCAGTAACATGTAAAATATCATTAGATATGAATCAAATTTAATTTAACTAAAGCAGCTCTAAAAAGACAATAGAGTTATAATTCAGTTCAATTCAGTTCAAAGTTGATTTAGTTCAGTTCAGTAACATGTTGTAAAATATCATTAGATATGAATCAAATTTAATTGAACTAAAGCAGCTCTAAAAAGACAATAAAGTTATAATTCAGTTCAATTCAGTTCAAAGTTGATTTAGTTCAGTTCAGTAACATGTTGTAAAATATCATTAGATATGAATCAAATTTAATTTAACTAAAGCAGCTCTAAAAAGACAATAGAGTTATAATTCAGTTCAATTCAGTTCAAAGTTGATTTAGTTCAGTTCAGTAACATGTTGTAAAATATCATTAGATATGAATCAAATTTAATTTAACTAAAGCAGCTCTAAAAAGACAATAGAGTTATAATTTGATTTCAATTCAGTTCAAAGCTGATTTCAGTTCAGTAACATGTAAAAAATATCTTTAGTTATGAAGCAAACTCAATTCAACTAAAGCAGCTCTAAAAGACAATAGAGTTATAATTCAGTTTAATTCAGTTCAAAGTTGATTTAGTTCAGTTCAGAAACAATGTGAATGTTGTAAAATATCATTAGTTATGAAGAGAACTCAATTTAACTAAAGCAGCTCTAAAAAGACAATAGAGTTATAATTCAGTTCAATTCAGTTCAAAGTTGATTTAGTTCAGTTCAGTAACAGTGTGAATGTTGTGATAGTTTGTTAGTTATGAAGGGAACTCAGTTCAACTAAAGCAGCTCTAAAAAGACAAGAGTTATAATTCAGTTCAAAGTTGATTTAGTTTAGTTCAGTTACAGTGCAAAGTTCAACGTTTTATGAAATGAACTTGATTCAGATAAAAGCAGCTCTTCAGAATTCATTATGCAGCTCATTTCTGATTCAATACTGATTCAGTTCAGTTCAATAGCAGCTCAATTTAGTTCAAGTTTTGCTCTCATCTGATACTGTCAGTGCTGTCAAATAGATAATATTTCTGAATATTTAGTGTCTTTTAAACCCAATCTTAGCAAACCAAAGGCGGTTACTCGGTCTGAGAAACTTGTTTGGGTGTTATTTCAAATTGCAACATTTACAATAGTGATGATGCCACTTTTATTCTAATGTGTTTGTAGCTTAGAGTCTGATTTCATTTCATACAGAACAGGTCCAACAGATTGCTCTGGGTCAAATACAAGTTGAGTCTTGCATGCAGGTTAACTACTCCAGCAAGGTCATGGGTTTGATTCCCAGAATGCAAACCGATCAAATGTATCTTGAATGCAAAATACTGTTAAGTTTCTTGGGATAAAAATGTCTGTCTAATGCATAAATGTAAAACAAGTACTGTACAGCCACACGATTTATAAATTCTTTTTTTAATTATTTATAAATTAAATGATCTAACCTTACTGAAGCTAACCGAAGCTAACTTTACTGAAGCTAACTTTACTGAAGCTAACCTTAATGAAGCTAACCTTAATGAAGCTAACTTTACTGAAGCTAACCTTACTGAAGCTAACCTTACTGAAGCTAACCTTACTGAAGCTAACCGAAGCTAACTTTACTGAAGCTAACTTTTTCTGAAGCTAACCTTAATGAAGCTAACCTTAATGAAGCTAACTTTACTGAAGCTAACCCTACTTAAGCTAACCTTACTGAAGCTAACTTTACTGAAGCTAACCTTAATGAAGCTAACTTTACTGAAGCTAACTCTACTGAAGCTAACCTTACTGAAGCTAACTCTACTGAAGCTAACCCTACTGAAGCTAACCTTACTGAAGCTAACTTTACTGAAGCTAACCTTAATGAAGCTAACTTTACTGAAGCTAACTCTACTGAAGCTAACCCTACTGAAGCTAACCTTACTGAAGCTAACTTTACTGAAGCTAACTCTACTGAAGCTAACCCTACTGAAGCTAACCTTACTGAAGCTAACTTTACTGAAGCTAACCTTAATGAAGCTAACTCTACTGAAGCTAACCTTAATGAAGCTAACTTTACTGAAGTTAACCTTAATGAAGCTAACTTTACTGAAGCTAACCTTAATGAAGCTAACTTTACTGAAGCTAACTCTACTGAAGCTAACCCTACTGAAGCTAACCTTACTGAAGCTAACTTTACTGAAGCTAACCTTAATGAAGCTAACTCTACTGAAGCTAACCTTAATGAAGCTAACTTTACTGAAGTTAACCTTAATGAAGCTAACTTTACTGAAGCTAACCTTAATGAAGCTAACTCTACTGAAGCTAACCTTAATGAAGCTAACTCTACTGAAGCTAACCTTACTGAAGCTAACTCTACTGAAGCTAACCCTACTGAAGCTAACCTTACTGAAGCTAACTTTACTGAAGCTAACCTTAATGAAGCTAACTTTACTGAAGCTAACCTTAATGAAGCTAACTCTACTGAAGCTAACCTTTCTGAAGCTAACTTTACTGAAGCTAACCTTAATGAAGCTAACTTTACTGAAGTTAACCTTACTGAAGCTAACTCTACTGAAGCTAACCCTACTGAAGCTAACCTTAATGAAGCTAACTTTACTGAAACTAACCTTAATGAAGCTAACCTCGAAGCTAACTTTACTGAAGCTAACCCTACTGAAGCTAACTTTACTGAAGCTAACATTACTGAAGCTAACTTTACTGAAGCTAACTTTACTGAAGCTAACTTTACTGAAGCTAACATTACTGAAGCTAACATTACTGAAGCTAACTTTACTGAAGCTAATTTTACTGAAGCTAACTTTACTGAAGCTAACATTACTGAAGCTAACTTTACTGAAGCTAACCTTACTGAAGCTAACTGAAGGGCACAGTTCAGACGAAATAAAAACATACATTTTCTCTCGCTGTTGACTACCGTACATATTTTTTCCGAAATAAGATTTTTCCCAAAATGTAATAATCTGCTTCCTACTTTTGTCTGACAAACTCAACAACCGTCGTATTTATCCCCGAACACAGGTGAACTCCCCGACCTACGCGGCCATTTCCAAACCCAACGGCACCAGTAGTCCAAAACCAGGCCATGGATTAATCCCCATCCAAACCACACGTCGTTCCTCCAATGACATCGTGGACGGCAACGAAACCTCGGGACCCCCGACCCAGGACAGCCCGTCCCAGCCCAGACCTCCCCCCACGGGCTCGTCGGAGAGTCCCACGCCCGCCAGTGCGCCGGAGCCCAAGGTCTCACACGAGCAGTTCAAGGCCGCGTTGCAGATGGTGGTGGACCGAGGCGACCCTCGCTCGTACCTGGAGAACTTCGTGAAGATCGGAGAAGGCTCCACGGGTGTGGTCTGCATCGCACGGGAAAAGCTCAGCGGACGGCAGGTCGCGGTGAAGATGATGGACCTGAGGAAGCAGCAGAGGAGAGAACTGCTCTTCAATGAGGTATGAGGACACTAGCATGACTTACGCTCGCTAATGTCACGAGTTCTGAGAACTGTTAATGAGGAGCTAAACAATGAAAGCTAACTTAGAGGGATCAAGCTATTCGGAAATGATGACTTGCTTGAAGATCCACATCAGTGTTGTTTTATGAATAAATACAATAGCTATATATTATAAAAGGATTGGTTACTCTAAATAAAAAATAGAAATAAAGGTATATTAAATATTTATAATATAATAATATATTAAAAAATTATGTTTTTACTTTATATATACATACATGATATAAAAATATATGTGATATATTAAAAATTACAATACCATTAGATTTTTTGTATAAATAATAAAAAATATAACATAAAAATTATATTAACAATTTTTTAATATATGTATATACAGTATATATATATATATATATATATATATATAATATTTTCAAATATAACATATATACAGTACATACTTTCTACATATACATACTTAACACACACACACGCATATATATATATATATATATATATATATACAGTATATTGTATGTATGTATATACTGTGTATGTGTATATATATATATATATATATATACTGTATATGTGTGTGTGTGTGTGTGTGTGTGTGTGTAAACAATGATACATATAATATAATTAATATATTGAAATTATTTTTACTATATATATATATATATATATATATACACACACACATATATATATTAGGGCTGTGCAAAGATCAATTGTGATTAATCACATCCGAAATAAAAGTTTGTGTTTACATAATATATTTGTGTGTGTACTGTGTATAATTATTTTGTATATATAAATACACACACATGCATGTATATATTTAAGAAAATGTGTTATTCATATATAAAATATTTATATTCATATAAAATATATAGATTATGTATTTATTTATATATATACAGTATCTATGATCAAATAATTCGTAAATATATATATATATATATGCATGCATATGTATTTATATATACAAAATAATTATACACAGCACACACACATATGTTATGTAAACACAAACTTTTATTTTGGATGCGATTAATCGCAATTAATTTTTGCACAGCCCTACTATCTATATGTGTGTGTGTGTAATTGTTTAATATGTAACTGTAAATGTCATTACTCACAGGTGGTTATAATGCGAGACTACAGTCATAAGAACGTGGTGGAGATGTACAAGAGTGCGCTGGTGGGGGAGGAGCTCTGGGTGATCATGGAGTACCTGCAGGGCGGCGCTCTCACCAACATCGTCTCCGAAACCAGGTGATCATCCGCTAGTCCGACTCACCTGAGCGACGGACTCCTCAGATCACGCGTGCTGATGCTTCATATATTGCTTCCATAATTATAAACCATAGTTATAATTGTGATAATTATGATTTACAGATATGAAAACCTTTTCACAATTTTCTAATTTTGACTTTAAGGTTTTCATATCTGTAATCCATAATCATCACAATTATAACACTTAAAGGCTTGAAATATCTTTGCATGTAGTGAGTCTATATAATATATTAGTTTCAGCTTTTAATTACTGAACTTTTGCACCATATTCTGATTTTTCTAGTTTCACATGTGTTATACAGAGCCGTTAAAGGGACATGGTGATGGAAAAAATATATTTATATTATTTAAAAATATATTTCAGTGCTTTTGCGTTCTCTTGCAAACTTTTACGATGCATACTGATATACAGTATATATAACTGATGTATTTCAGGAGTGAAAGGAGGCACAGCCCTTGTTTATTTAGTGTGTGTGTGTGTGTTTAGACTCACAGAGGAGCAGATCGCGACGGTGTGTGAGTCCGTCTTGCAGGCGCTCTGTTATCTTCACGCTCAGGGCGTTATTCACAGAGACATCAAGAGTGACTCCATTTTACTGACACTGGACGGCAGGGTAAGATGAGTCGACTCAAACACAATCCTTCTGAATGTTAATGGTGTTAATTGTAAACATGGGAAGCACTCTGGCCAGACAGGATTTAAAGGGGTCATTAATGGCATTTTTTAATAAAGTTTATGTTCTCTGAGGTCCACTTATAATGTTATCAAGAGTTTTAAAGTCTCCCTGTAGTCCTTTAAAACTCACCAAAAATAATTTTTTTCCTTAATAATTTCTTCATCCCTTAAAATATCTTGAATGTAACTCGACACCCTCGCCTCATTTAGTATGCACGGTTCTATGAATATGCAAATGAGCCCCGCCTCCACTCACTCAGCTCACCACTGGTTGAAGATCACACGTTGATCTGATTGGTCTCAAGATGGTTTGTGACGTCAGAAACACCAGCGATTTCAAAGCGTGTTTTTGAGACCGTCTTTGGTTCACTGCAGTTTTAAGGAGGAAATACTCAGCATTTCATGACACTTTGTTGATGTTGATCGACTGAAACGCATCTTAATAGCAGGTCTCAGAAATCGCCCAAATAATAACAAAGAAACGGCAAGTGACGCATTGAATTAAATGTGGAATTTAGAAAGGCTGAAATTGCGTTTTCTTGTAAAACGAACTCCAGTAATATGTGGGAAACTCATTTAGTCTCTTTCTCTGTTTCACAGGTCAAACTGTCCGACTTTGGGTTCTGCGCTCAGATCAGCAAAGACATTCCCAAGAGGAAGTCGTTAGTGGGAACGCCGTATTGGATGGCTCCGGAAGTGGTTTCAAAGACGCCGTACAGCACTGAGGTCAACACACTCACTCCTGCATGAATATGCCGTAAATGTAGCTTTTCATTGAACCAGATCACATGAAGCCAACAGAGGGTTTGTAGCACTTTAGAATTAGCTCTCAGTTATAATAATGCATTCAATGACAAAGATCAATATAAACCATTATAAAAACATTGGATCATGTTGAAATGTCGCTCACTGGAGCTTTTATTCAGGATTACAGCGAATGGCTTCGATCATAACAATGCTTTCTTCAGGGGACATTTAATATTCAATAATATTATTGATCTGTGTTGCTATGGTTGTATTACTGTCATGGTATCACTGTGAAGCTGTTTTGATACAGCATATCTGTATTGTAAAAAGCGCTATATAAAATAAATGTGAATTGAATTGAATTCTGCATTATCCGATAATAATCCAATGCATAAATGCTGAAGAAAAGGAAGGAACACACTATACAGTTTGACTGAGTAAAAATACTCAGGCGATCTTAATAAATAAGGTCTCATTTAATCATCTATGAAACATAACATAAACATCAATATATATATATGCAATTTTGGATTTTTAAAATATTGAAATAAACATTAACTGAATAATAATAGTAATAACTATTTTTATATAAAGTTAAAATGAAGCAGCTGTAAAGCTTTGCTTTGCATAATAAAACAAACATATGGAAGCTTGTTTCTGCCAATGAATAAAAATAATAATAATAATTGCGACTTTTTATCTCACAATTGCGAGATATGAAGTCAGAATTATGAGAAATAAAGTCGCAATTGCGAGAAAAAAACTTTTTTATCTCACAATTCTGACTTTTTTCTCTCAATTGCGAGTTTATATCTTGAGATTCTGACATCTTTTCTCAGAGTTGTCAGATGTAAACTCGAAATCGTGAGTTATCAGGTCAGTAAGAGAAAAAAGACTCACTTTTCTCCCTCAGAATAGTTTATATCTCACAATTCTGACTGTACAACATGCAATTGCTGCTTGATATAAATCAATTCGTACTTTATAGCTCACAATTGTGAGATAAAAAACCTTTTTTATTTTTCATTCTGTGGCGGAAACAAGCTTCCATACTATGAAGTTTAATTACAACACACACACACACACACAAACAAAAGTAAAGTAAAAGCTAACCTAAAAAAATGCGTTTTTAAATGAGATTTAAAAATACTCAAGTCTGTGCATCTCTGATATTAAGTTATGATGTGCATAAGTGAGATTAAAAAAGGCTGTGAGTGTTAATCAGTGATGTAATCCGGTTCAATGAACGCTGACGGTGAAGTGTGTGCTGAACAGAGGAGTGACGAGGCGTTGTCGGTGTGTGTAGGTGGACGTGTGGTCTCTGGGGATCATGGTGGTGGAGATGGTGGATGGAGAACCTCCATACTTCAGCGAGACGCCGATCGCAGCGATGAAGAGAGTCCGGGACGAGCCGGCACCGTCTGCCAGGAACGCCAGCAAGGTACACACAACATCACCATCACGGCGTTTCCTGCGCAGAGCGGCTGGAAGTGTTGTATTATGCATACACCACCGGTCAAAAGTTTTAGATCAGTAATATTTTTTATGTTTTTAAATGAAGTCTCTTCTGCTCACCAAGGCTGCTTTATTTGATGAAAAAACTGTAATATTGTGAAATATTATGACACTGTTTTCTATTTTAATATATTTTAATTTTTTATTTGAAAGCTGAATTTTCAACATCATTACTGTTGCTGATTACACAGATCAGTTTTCAGTGTCACATGATCCTTCAGAAATCATTCTAATATGCTGATTTTATGCTCAAAAAACTTAAATTATTATTTTCAATGTTGAAAACAGTCGTGTGCCATTTTTTTCCCCAAAAAAATTCTTTGATGAATAGAAAGTTCAAAAGAACAGCATTTATTTAAAATATAATCTTCTCTAACATTATAAATGTCTTTACTGTAACTTTTGATCAATTTAACTCATCCTTGATGAATAAAAGTATTTTCTAATTTCTTTCCCCCAAAAATAAAAAATAAATTCTTACTGACCCCAAACCTACGGAGGCGTATTGCATTCACTTGAAGAACAAAAAATCTACTCTGTTTTTCTGAATTAACGAGTTAATTTTTCATGATAAAAAAAATTGCTCTGTTTTTCTGAATTAATGAGTTAATTTTTCATGAGAAAAAAAAATATTTTGCTCTGTTATTCTGAATTAACGAGTTAATTTTTCATGATAAAAAAAAAATTGCTCTGTTTTTCTGAATTAATGAGTTAATTTTCATGAGAAAAAACGTTTTTGCTCTGTTTTTCTGAATTAACGAGTTAATTTTTCATGATAAAAAAAATTGCTCTGTTTTTCTGAATTAACGAGTTAATTTTTCATGATAAAAAAAAATTGCTCTGTTTTTCTGAATTAACGAGTTAATTTTTTATGATAAAAAAATATTTTGCTCTGTTTTTCTGAATTAACGAGTTAGTTTTTCATGGAATTTTTTTTTTTTGCTCTGTTTTTCTGAATTAACTCGTTAATTCAGAAAAACGGAGCAAAAACTTTTTTCTCATTAAAAATTAACTCATTAATTCAGAAAAACAGAGCAAAAAAATTTTTCTCACGAAAAATTAACTCATTAATTCAGAAAAACAGAGCAAAAAAATTTTTCTCATGAAAAATTAACTCATTAATTCAGAAAAACAGAGCATTTTTTTATCATGAAAAATTAACTCGTTCATTCAGAAAAACAGAGTAGATTTTTTTTTTCTTCAAGTGAATGCAATACGCCTCCGTAAAAAAACAGATCATTTCAGATCAATTCTGTTCTTTTGAACTTTCTATTCATCAAAGAATCCTGCAATAAAAATGTAGAATACTGTTTTCAACATGGATAATAATCATAAATGTTTCTTGAGCATCATATTATAATAATTTCTGTAGGATCATGTGACACTGAAGACTGGAGTAATGATGATAAATTCAGCTTTCATCACAGGAATAAATTACACTTCACTAATATATTCACATAGAAAACCGCTGTTTTAAATTGTAATAATATTTCACAATATTACTGTATTTTTTGTATTTTTTTATCAAATAATTGCAGCCTTGGTGAGCATAAGAGACTTCTTTTAAAAACATTACAAATCTTACCGATCTAAAACTTTTGACCGGTAGTGCACATAACGTAACCAACACTATTTTCCTGTTGTTTAATTGTGTGATGTGTCCATACACAGATCTCTCCGGTTCTGAGGGACTTTCTGGACTCGATGCTGACGCGCGACCCCGTGCAGAGAGCCAGCGCCGGCGATCTCCTGCAACACCCCTTCATGCTTCAGGTCTCGTCTCCGCGCTGTCTGGTCCCCCTGGTGGAGCAATACCGCAAGCGCATGTCCCGATGCTGAGACGGCCCGTCTGACCCGCCATCCCACGGCCCGTCTGAACCGCCACCACGCCGCTAACCCACGGCCTCGTCCCGACCTGCTGAAAGCATTGTTAGCCTTATCAGCAGTTCAACGAGTCGGTGAGGTGTGTGTGTGAGCGACAGCATCGCTGAAACAATGACCTGAACTGTTTACATTCCCAGTGGAAACACCAGTTCAACTTAAACTGAACATTCAGCCAGCGTTTATTTATCTTCATTACAAATGACTTCATTTTACTGCATTGGACCTTGGTCAGGTTAGACGCCATGTTGAATTGAGTTTAATGAGGATTGACTAAAAGCCCTGGCGTACTTCAGACGAACCGCTGTGACGTCATTAGTCGCGTTTCCACTGTCGGGCCAAAAGTGTGTTTGCTACTGTGTGTCGCGTTTCCACTGTCACTGGGGCTCGATCGGGCCTCATCGGGGCCGACGCCGGGGTTTGGGGCCCGCCGGATACTTTGGTCCAACACTGACACTGTTTTTCATGTTTAACATGGTAAAGCTGCTTGATTTCGGCAATCTACTGCAATAAGTGCTATACAGGGGAAACTCAAAACGGTGCAAAAGTTCAGTAATTCAACTTAAAAGCTGAAACTAATATATTATATAGACTCATTACATGCAAAGTGAGATATTTCAAGCCTTTATTTGTTATAATTGTGATGATTATGGATTACAGATATGCAACGCTTTTCATATCTGCAATCCATAATCGTCACAATTAGTTTCAGCTTTTAAGTTGAATTACTGAACTTTTGCAGGATATTCTCATGTTTCGACTCGAGTTTCACCTGTATATAGTGAGATGATCAGATGATCAGGTTTCTCACCGCTGTCATTGTTTGTTTATTGTGTTATTGAGAGGAAAGTGCTGCACATATTTATATATTCACCTAAACGTCGCTCTTAACTCCCTCAGACCTGAATTATGTTTCAAGTTTCTGAAAAATATAAAAGTACATTTTACCAGCTCATGAGGTTTCTGTAAATGAAAACAAATGAATTTTTTTTTGTATATAATTGCTTTCATTGTGATTTTTTTTTTGTCCATTCCAATGGACATCAGGTCAAAACATGTGTACTTCCCAAAAATGTACCAACATGAAATAAATTAATAAACATAAAATTTGTTGGTCTATACTTTAAGCTTTTTCTCAAGGTAAAAAAATCCTAGCAGTATACCATTTCAATTATGATTTTGAGGTTTTTGTTTTACAGATTGCACCTTTTTTTTAACAAACTAAATATCTTCGAATCAATCAATCTGGTCATATTAGAGTCATTTTCTGTGTGCATCTTTCTTTTTTTAGAACAAAAACTTGAACATTTTAACATTATGACACGCCCCGACCCCCCCGGGGGGGCCGACGGGAGGAGGCCGAACTTTCGGGACCCCCGAGGCAGTTCCGCAAAGGCCCCCTCGGTGGAGCCACCCTCGAAACGTCCCACGAACCCACTATTCGTCCGACCGACCACCGCTTCCACAGGGCGACCGGCCCCCCGCCCACTGACCGGTCCCCGGACACGCCCCCGTCCCACGAAGGCCCGAAACCACTATTTGTCCAATAACCCACTATATTTTTTAACGTTTTTCCGCAGTTCATTCAATATGCTACAGTTCCCATCGGCAATCTATTGAATGGGGATTCGGGTAGTGTTTTTGATAGACATTTTAATTAAAGTTCCTAAAAAAACAATCCCACAAACAAAATAAGTTTCTCCAATCTTCTTGAAACTCTGAATTCTGATAGAGGGCCACGAGACTTTGACCTGAGTGCAAAAATGGAGGCTCTAGACCCTTCCAGAGCTGAGATATCGAAATTCAAAATTTCGACCCGAAAAAAAAAAACGACAGTGTTACCCCTTTCGTTTTTTTCGTTTTTGGGCAAAAAATTAAGTTTCTCAAATCTTCTCAAAACTCTGGATTATGATAGAGGGCTGTGAGACTTTGACCTGAGTGCAAAAATGGAGGCTCTAGACCCTTCCAGAGCTGAGATATCGAAATTCAAAATTTCGACCCGAAAAAAAACCCGACAGTGTTACCCCTTTCGTTTTTTTTCGTTTTTGGGCGAAAAATTAAGTTTCTCCAATCTTCTCAAAACTCTGGATTATGATAGAGGGCTGTGAGACTTTGACCTGAGTGCAAAAATGGAGGCTCTAGACCCTTCCAGAGCTGAGATATCGAAATTCAAAATTTCGACCCGAAAAAAAACGACAGTGTTACCCCTTTCGTTTTTTTTTTTCGTTTTTGGGCGAAAAATTAAGTTTCTCCAATCTTCTCAAAACTCTGGATTATGATAGAGGGCCACGAGACTTTGACCTGAGTGCAAAAATGGAGGCTCTAGACCCTTCCAGAGCTGAGATATCAAATTCAAAATTTCGACCCGAAAAAAAAACGACAGTGTTACCCCTTTCGTTTTTTTTTCGTTTTTGGGCGAAAAATTAAGTTTCTCCAATCTTCTCAAAACTCTGGATTATGATAGAGGGCTGTGAGACTTTGACCTGAGTGCAAAAATGGAGGCTCTAGACCCTTCCAGAGCTGAGATATAAAATTCAAAATTTCGACCCGAAAAAAAAACGACAGTGTTACCCCTTTCGTTTTTGGGCGAAAAATTAAGTTTCTCCAATCTTCTCAAAACTCTGGATTCTGATAGAGGGCCACGAGACTTTGACCTGAGTGCAAAAATGGAGGCTCTAGACCCTTCCAGAGCTGAGATATCAAAATTCAAAATTTCGACCCGAAAAAAAAACGACAGTGTTACCCCTTTCGTTTTTTTCGTTTTTGGGCGAAAAATTAAGTTTCTCCAATCTTCTCAAAACTCTGGATTCTGATAGAGGGCCACGAGACTTTGACCTGAGTGCAAAAATGGAGGCTCTAGACCCTTCCAGAGCTGAGATATCGAAATTCAAAATTTCGACCCGAAAAAAAAACGACAGTGTTACCCCTTTCGTTTTTTTTCGTTTTTGGGCAAAAAATTAAGTTTCTCCAATCTTCTCAAAACTCTGGATTATGATAGAGGGCTGTGAGACTTTGACCTGAGTGCAAAAATGGAGGCTCTAGACCCTTCCAGAGCTGAGATATCAAAATTCAAAATTTCGACCCGAAAAAAAAACGACAGTGTTACCCCTTTCGTTTTTGGGCGAAAAATTAAGTTTCTCCAATCTTCTCAAAACTCTGGATTATGATAGAGGGCCACGAGACTTTGACCTGAGTGCAAAAATGGAGGCTCTAGACCCTTCCAGAGCTGAGATATCGAAATTCAAAATTTCGACCCGAAAAAAAAACGACAGTGTTACCCCTTTCGTTTTTTTTCGTTTTTGGGCGAAAAATTAAGTTTCTCCAATCTTCTCAAAACTCTGGATTATGATAGAGGGCTGTGAGACTTTGACCTGAGTGCAAAAATGGAGGCTCTAGACCCTTCCAGAGCTGAGATATCGAAATTCAAAATTTCGACCCGAAAAAAAAACGACAGTGTTACCCCTTTCGTTTTTTTTCGTTTTTGGGCGAAAAATTAAGTTTCTCCAATCTTCTCAAAACTCTGGATTATGATAGAGGGCTGTGAGACTTTGACCTGAGTGCAAAAATGGAGGCTCTAGACCCTTCCAGAGCTGAGATATCAAAATTCAAAATTTCGACCCGAAAAAAAAACGACAGTGTTACCCCTTTCGTTTTTTTCGTTTTTGGGCGAAAAATTAAGTTTCTCCAATCTTCTCAAAACTCTGGATTATGATAGAGGGCCACGAGACTTTGACCTGAGTGCAAAAATGGAGGCTCTAGACCCTTCCAGAGCTGAGATATCGAAATTCAAAATTTCGACCCGAAAAAAAAACGACAGTGTTACCCCTTTCGTTTTTGGGCGAAAAATTAAGTTTCTCCAATCTTCTCAAAACTCTGGATTATGATAGAGGGCCACGAGACTTTGACCTGAGTGCAAAAATGGAGGCTCTAGACCCTTCCAGAGCTGAGATATCGAAATTCAAAATTTCGACCCGAAAAAAAAAACGACAGTGTTACCCCTTTCGTTTTTTTCATTTTTGGGCGAAAAATTAAGTTTCTCCAATCTTCTCAAAACTCTGGATTATGATAGAGGGCTGTGAGACTTTGACCTGAGTGCAAAAATGGAGGCTCTAGACCCTTCCAGAGCTGAGATATCGAAATTCAAAATTTCGACCCGAAAAAAAAACGACAGTGTTACCCCTTTCGTTTTTTTTCGTTTTTGGGCGAAAAATTAAGTTTCTCCAATCTTCTCAAAACTCTGGATTATGATAGAGGGCTGTGAGACTTTGACCTGAGTGCAAAAATGGAGGCTCTAGACCCTTCCAGAGCTGAGATATCGAAATTCAAAATTTCGACCCGAAAAAAAAACGACAGTGTTACCCCTTTCGTTTTTTTTCGTTTTTGGGCGAAAAATTAAGTTTCTCCAATCTTCTCAAAACTCTGGATTATGATAGAGGGCTGTGAGACTTTGACCTGAGTGCAAAAATGGAGGCTCTAGACCCTTCCAGAGCTGAGATATCGAAATTCAAAATTTCGACCCGAAAAAAAAACGACAGTGTTACCCCTTTCGTTTTTTTTCGTTTTTGGGCGAAAAATTAAGTTTCTCCAATCTTCTCAAAACTCTGGATTATGATAGAGGGCTGTGAGACTTTGACCTGAGTGCAAAAATGGAGGCTCTAGACCCTTCCAGAGCTGAGATATCGAAATTCAAAATTTCGACCCGAAAAAAAAACGACAGTGTTACCCCTTTCGTTTTTTTTCGTTTTTGGGCGAAAAATTAAGTTTCTCCAATCTTCTCAAAACTCTGGATTATGATAGAGGGCTGTGAGACTTTGACCTGAGTGCAAAAATGGAGGCTCTAGACCCTTCCAGAGCTGAGATATCGAAATTCAAAATTTCGACCCGAAAAAAAAACGACAGTGTTACCCCTTTCGTTTTTTTTCGTTTTTGGGCGAAAAATTAAGTTTCTCCAATCTTCTCAAAACTCTGGATTATGATAGAGGGCTGTGAGACTTTGACCTGAGTGCAAAAATGGAGGCTCTAGACCCTTCCAGAGCTGAGATATCGAAATTCAAAATTTCGACCCGAAAAAAAAACGACAGTGTTACCCCTTTCGTTTTTTTTCGTTTTTGGGCGAAAAATTAAGTTTCTCCAATCTTCTCAAAACTCTGGATTATGATAGAGGGCTGTGAGACTTTGACCTGAGTGCAAAAATGGAGGCTCTAGACCCTTCCAGAGCTGAGATATCGAAATTCAAAATTTCGACCCGAAAAAAAAAACGACAGTGTTACCCCTTTCGTTTTTTTTCGTTTTTGGGCGAAAAATTAAGTTTCTCCAATCTTCTCAAAACTCTGGATTATGATAGAGGGCTGTGAGACTTTGACCTGAGTGCAAAAATGGAGGCTCTAGACCCTTCCAGAGCTGAGATATCGAAATTCAAAATTTCGACCCGAAAAAAAAAACGACAGTGTTACCCCTTTCGTTTTTTTTCGTTTTTGGGCGAAAAATTAAGTTTCTCCAATCTTCTCAAAACTCTGGATTATGATAGAGGGCTGTGAGACTTTGACCTGAGTGCAAAAATGGAGGCTCTAGACCCTTCCAGAGCTGAGATATCGAAATTCAAAATTTCGACCCGAAAAAAAAACGACAGTGTTACCCCTTTCGTTTTTTTCGTTTTTGGGCGAAAAATTAAGTTTCTCCAATCTTCTCAAAACTCTGGATTATGATAGAGGGCTGTGAGACTTTGACCTGAGTGCAAAAATGGAGGCTCTAGACCCTTCCAGAGCTGAGATATCGAAATTCAAAATTTCGACCCGAAAAAAAAACGACAGTGTTACCCCTTTCGTTTTTTTTCGTTTTTGGGCGAAAAATTAAGTTTCTCCAATCTTCTCAAAACTCTGGATTATGATAGAGGGCTGTGAGACTTTGACCTGAGTGCAAAAATGGAGGCTCTAGACCCTTCCAGAGCTGAGATATCGAAATTCAAAATTTC